TATATATATATATTGCCGTTTCCCCCTTATAGTGTGTGTTATTTTGCGGGCTACATTTTACGTTGAAATCAGAATGTTGTGGTTGATGTGAAAAAAGGCATAGTTTTGTATTTTGCCCGGGAATCTTTATTTTTGTCTCATCAAGGAAATAGAAGGGACTTTTATCGGCAATAGACTTTGGTCAGCAATAGAGAAAAGGGACATTCCAATTAAGTAGGAGTCTCTCTGATTGAGTGCTTTTATAAGTTTCACACGTACATACGATGAGTTGTTGGAGGTCCCTGTGTGAGGCCACGACAGCTAAAGTTGACAATCTCTTCAAAATCAAAGAGGGGTTATCTAGTCGCAAAAAAAATGAGCTTGAAACTATCTGTTGAGACAAACCTATAAATAAACTATAATAAGCAAAGTACACGTACATTAAATAAACCTCCACTACATGTACAACACAGGCCTCTTTAAATTTATTTTTTTGGGGGGGGGTCTTTTTTGTTATTTCTTTTTTTCTGGAAAGTGTTTCGATCAAGTTTCACAATCTCTGTATGCAGGCCAGTTTTGCACCTTGTTTCTTTATATCAATTGTGTAATGCATGTAATTAAATAGAACAGTTAAGATTCAAAACAAAAGAAAATGGGAACATGAAAACAAGCAGTTTATGTATAAGTTATAAGGCGGAAGTTTGTGAAATTACAATGGTTGCTCCCTCTTTCGTTGTTAGGTACGCTTAGGTCAGCTCTTTAAAAAGGTAAACATTGTAATCAAAACCTTGAACTGAGATTTATTAAGAAAGATTCCGCTAAAGTGCACCATACGGATAGAAAATTCAGGTAGAAAAGTGGCACTAAATTGTGTGTTGAGACAACATTTCCTTTGGTGATGTATAACTCCGTCCGTACGTTGGTTAACTTCTTCTTGCTTTCACATACACCCGCATGCATACTCAGGTTGCCAAGGCCAAGATAAGGGGAGAGCAGTACAATTAAATACATTCCACAGAACGCTGTTCGAGGCAGGTATAAAAAAAATTTGTGTCACTGAAACTTTTACGCATGGAAATTGCATTTTCGATTTAAAGTGGCCTTTTTATATATTTTATTTTGTCAAAAGTCAGCATTAGTGTTAAAGTCTTGCAAACGAAGAAATGGAAATCTTCATAACAGTAGATAAAAATGCTGCCCTTTTCCATGCTAGCTCTACCAATCATACAGCAAGTTTCTGTCACGTGACAGACTAAAAGTGCTAAATTTTTGCAAGTTCTTGACCGTGACTGTGAAAACATAAAGAACGTTTTCTGTTTACCTATGGCATTTTTATTTCATTGGCTTGAAATCTAAGTTCTCTTTGCAGTGGGTTGAATTTGCACTTGTTTCGTCCAGTAGCTCCGAAACAGGCACTATAAATCTGCCGTGGAGTCTTTATCTTGGATGATGTCGAACCAGACTGCACAACGCGTGCGGCGAAATGGATCGCCATCGACCACCAAACAAGGCCCAATCAAGGCCGTTCAAGCTTTCTCTTTGAAACAAGGGAATTCTTCGTCTAAAAATGCTTCATCTTCGCCATCGCCCCGAGACAGTCATAAATTGTGGTCACGAAAGTCGCCTGATCACCGACTGTCTCCTGAAAGGAAAAGTCCTGGGTCTTCGCAGCCTCTCAGCTTGAGCCCCAACGTGAACCAACAAACTCAAGCGCACACTCATAGTCATACTCTCAAAGGTACTGATTTTCATGCATGCTTCTAGCTAATTCTAAAGTTCTCGGATGACTTTAGTGGCATTAATGCTGGGAAGATTGAAGAATACCGGACCACTTGTACATTATTGCGCGAGAAAGTGAGGCGGACAAAATTTTAACGAAGTGGCTAGCCCTTACTTAAGTACGGCTAGACTGCCAGTCTAGCCGTACTTAGATCTAGGTTTAGCCCAATGGACTCAAGCCTGTTAAGTACACAGAGGTCTCATTAGATCTAGATCTAGTAATTTTTCAGGTTCAAATACATGCATTGCAAGTCAGTAAGGCACCTTTTGGTTTTGGAAGTGGCTATTCTCATCTGGGGTGAGAATAGAAAAACGATCTACCTCTCACCCCGGGTGAGACTTGCCAGCGTAGGCTATTCTCACCCGGTGCGAAACAAGACCTGCTTTTCCTCATTTTGGAATACTGTCTATCGGTGTGGATGATCAAATTGATAAAAGCCAAGAAAAAATTACGTTATTGCACAAAAGTAAGCTAATTTGATCGTCTTCAAAGATGCTCTATGGCTATTTCACTGTTCGAATCGAGCCGAACTACGCGGGTCGCCATTTTGTTTTGCCCGGAAGTTCTCGCAAGATCTACTCCTCCCCTCTCTCTCTCTCTCTGTCTCTTTCTAAATCCTGTCTATCGGTGTGGACGATCAAATTGACCAAAACAGAGTTAAAAAATGATATTAAAACACAAAAGTAAATTAATTTGGTTGTCTATAAAGATGCTACGGCTATTTAACTTTTCGAATCGAGCCGAACTACGCGGGTCGCCATTTTGTTTTGACCGGAAGTTCTCGAGCTACTCCTCTCTCTCTCTCTTTCTCTCTCTCTCTCTCTCCACTGCCCACAGACAAAATTGTACGCTTTTAGTAGGCTACTACAGTTGTAATGGAACGTTTGTTCACGGCACAGAATTCTACAATTTTTATGTTATCACAGTGTAGAATTCTGTGGTTTAGGGTGAACGCAAAATTTGTTGGCCTAGATCTAGGCTATAACGGTGAACAAGCACCGGGTGAGAATAGCTAAAAGACTCGCCTGCACTATTCTCACCCCGGGTGAGAATAGAGGTGGCCTTTGGTTTTGTCTGAAATACAAATACTTTTGGCATTGCAAACTAAAAATTTCATTTACAATTCAGCCATCAATATTAAGTACGGCTAGCCTGACAGTCTAGCCGTCCTTAAGTACGGCTAGCCTAGCTGTCTACCCGTACTTAAGTACGGCTAGACAAGAAGTCTAGCAGTACTTATCTTAGGCCCTATTAACATTAGAAAACAGGAGGTTTAAAATACATACACTGCCATTAAGGCACCTGGATCCGTCTCAAATACAAATGCTTTAGGTACTGCACACTAAAAATTTATTTTTACAATTCAGTAGGCCTATTTTTTTTGTAAATGGTCAGTATAGCCATCATATTAAGAATAAGTACTGCGAGTCTAGCCGTACTACTAGACTGCCAGTCTAGCCGTCATTAAGTACGGCTAGCCTCTTCCAAATTTTAATCAATAGATCTACCGGTCCGAGATTCTCGATTGAGAGATATTAAAAACGGGAAAATCATAAATTCCTAAGGTTGAGACATGAGGCAAAGTCAGTCCGCTGGTCCGGTATTCTTCAATCTTTCCCCATATTGCAGTTGAGGTGGCTTGCAAGTGTCTTTAGTTAGTAAGGTTTATAATAGCGAATCATGGTTCTCAAGCTTCTAAAGCAGATTTCCGCTAGATCTACTGCTAGTTCTTCCGCTATACACTCCGCTACCGCTACTTGCTACTCTTTTACTTGAAATTATCTTCCAAACCCTCGAATTGGTATGAAATAACTTTGCTTTGATAAATTGTGGTTTTTATTTCAGCATTCTAGGGTTAAATAACTATAAGGCCGGCTCTATTTCTCCGAACGAAGTGTATACAGACCCGGTAACCGGGAACAAAGTCACGAAGTATACAGACCAGGTAGGGGAAATCTTTTGTGATTTCGGAAAGTTTCAGTGCCCAGACCCGGTAGAGAGAGAGAGAGTGTGTGCGCGCGCGTGTGTGTGCGTGCGTGTAAGAGAGAGAGGAGGGGGTAGAGAAAGATATAGAGTGGGAAAGTAAGTTGGGGGGGGGGGGAGGAGAGGGGAGAGAAGGGAGGGAGGAGTGGGGGAGGAAGTAAGACAGAGCCAAACAAAGAGAGAAGGCGAGCGATACACGGTCTGAGAGAGAGAGAGGGGCAGGCAGAAAAAGAGGGGAGTCTAGAGACAGAAGTAGAGAGGGTGACTGATCGATTGAACTTATGACATTCTTGTTCTTTTCTTCAAACGGATAATCTGGAGTGTCTACGTACACGGTAACCGGGCACGTAGCCTCAGTGTCTATGTATACGGTAACCGGGCACGTACGGTAGCCTCAGTGTCTACGTATACGGTGACCGGGCACGTACGGTAGCCTCAGTGTCTATGTACGCGGTAACCGGCAACCGGGCGTGAAGTCTCAATGTCACATACACGGTAACCGGGCGCGTAGCCTCAATATCTACGTACACAGTAACCGGCAACCGAGCGCCACTCATTATCTACGAACACGGTAAGCGGGTATTTAGTTTCGTGGGGGAGGGGGGGGGGGGCTTCAGCTAGGAACATGGTAACTGCTTTGCTCCCTTCTTGACGTTGACATTAATTTTTTCCATTTTCACCGTGTAGTCTCAATGTCGCATACACGGTAACCGTGCGCGTAGCCTCAATATCTACGTACACGGTAACCGTGTACTTAGTTTCGGGGGGAGGGGTGCGGAAGGGAGCTTCAAAAGCTATGTGCACGCATGATAACTGCTTCGCTCCCTTCATGACGTTGACTTTTTTTCCTTTTTCACCGTGTAGTCTCAATGTCACACACACGGTAACCGGGCACGTAGCCTCAATATCTACGTACACGGTAACCGGCAACCGGGCGTGGTCTCAATGTCACATACACGGTGACCGGGCACGTAGCCTCAATATCTACGTACACGGTAATCGGCAACTGGGCGCCTCTCATTATCTACGAACACGGTAACGGGGTGAGTGTTTTGTTTCGGGGGGGGGGGGGCTAGGTGCACGGTAACTGCGTTGCTCCCTTCATGACCTTGTCCTTTTTCCTTTTTCGCTCCGCTTTTTGTATGTTGTGAGCGGAATGTAAATCCAAAAATGACCCCAATCTACCCCCTGTCATCTTTCCTACTTGGGAGGGCAAAATGAAGTGACACTGAAAATCTGCGAATCTGGAACAGAAAGCTAAAATATATAGATGTTTACAAAACATGTAATACTATCACGAGAGAGAGAGAGAGAACGAGACTCAGAAAACAGAGAGAGGGAGAGGAAGGAAGAGAGAGAAAGAGAGAGAATTAAAAAGTATGCTCTTGGTGAGGTCATACCTCTCTTAAAACAAAGGACAATGAAACAAGGGGATCCTTGACTATCACCCATCTAATGAAACGCGGACCTTTTGGTTTAAAAACGCGGCTTACTAGGTATGAGTATGACGGATCCCAATTCCGTACAGGGCTTGCACCAATGCATGCTTTTCCGTAGAAGGAAGCTCTAGTAATAATCAAAATTCTAAATACTAAAATTTGCTTCCAAGTTCAGTTTTTGTCATCCGATGTTGCCTTCAACCCCACCCCTCCCCCCGACTGTACCTTTTAAAAAAATCAATAATCCCCCTATTCCGGAGCCCTATACTTCGCGCAGCGCACATGTTGAATGAACTTTGGTAACCCCATGCGATCACTGGTACTCACAATGTGATGCGAAAGTACAGGTTCACTGACCGGTCACGATGTCGAACCCGACAAGACGCTTGTATAACTTCCTTTTTTTTCCGCAAGTGAAAGCACAGGACAATGATTTATTTTCCTGGCGACACAGCGTTTGTAATGCACAACCCATATGTTACAAATGTTGCGTTAATCAGACTGCTACCAGCAAATTTCTGGGTGGTAAAGAAAGCGAAAGTAGATCGAGCTTCGGTACCACGCATACACTTACGCTTGCCGCCAGAGCGCCCTGTTCATACCTAAAACTATCTTTTGTTTTCGAAAGAGTTAGCACTTGCAACAAATAAGTTTATAAGTGCCGAAGATTAGAGGTGTTAGTGTTACAAGAGAGTAACAAACACAAAAAGAAGGAAGAGAAAGATAAGGATGATAGATGTTGAATAGGAGAGAAGGAGCAGACCACACCAGAGCACCCACCAACCACCCATTAATACTATCTTTACAAACACCACACTTACAATAACACACAAAAATACATTAACACAGAGAGAGGGGAGAGAGGGGGACACACACACACACACACACATCATGTATATATAAACGTGTGAATAGCCTCTAAATATATTTAATACTTAGCATGTTACACACACACAAATCACACAACATAAACATTGGATAAATCGAATGAAGATAGCTTTATCGGTTGAGTTTGTCAGAAGTAGACTTGACTATGACTTTGTACATGTAGTTACATTATAAACAAAAATCTCCATAGCCTCACAACGATATTCTCTCTGTCTCTAAGCACACACAAATCACACAACATACACATTGGATAAAACAATATATATGAAAGCTAAAAGAGCAAATAAAAAATGAATGACCCAGGACATATTAAAACTAGAGAAGACAGTCAAAATCAAACATGGAAGAGTACATCTTTAGCTCTGGTCAACACCCAAAAGCTATAGTATTTGGTCTAATGCTTGCTTTTCTGCACCAAAGGGTGTACATCATAGCATTTTGAAAACCAATATCATCTTATTTAAATCACATGGGTCTCAACTGAGAATTCTAATAAAGGAGGAACTTTCCAGGTGATCGCCACAGAAGCCCATTTTCGCGAAACACCCATTATTATTATACTGTTGAACCCTAGAATGCTGAAATGAAAACCATCAATTTATCAAAGCAAGGTTATTTCACACCAATTTGAGGGTTTGGGAGATAATTTCAAGTAAGAGTCACGCACCAAATTTACAATCTTGATTACGTACAGAAAGTGGTGGCACCTGGGGTCTTGTGCGACTTATTAATATTTTCCCTTCATCATATTCGCCTGTATATATATACTATATATAAAAATGAATCTTGCTTTGAGCCTAGAACCAGAATATCGACTGTCATGATTCATATCATATATATAGGCCTATATATAATAAACGTGAAAGACAAAAATTAATGCTCTAACTCAAAGTACAGTAGAATAGCCCAAGTAGACCTATTCAGTGTGAGAGGTGTAAGAACTGTGGGAAGGCAAGATGCAGTGATACTGAAAATCTGCGAATCTTGTACAGAAAGCTAAAATATACTGCCACCAATCCAATGAAACGCGAACATTTAGGCCGTTTTCACACAAGGCACCCACGCACACTTTACGTAGCAGAGAGCTGTAGTAGTTATCAAAATTCTAAACATATTTGCTTCCAGTTTCAGTTGTTGTTTTTTTGTCCACTGGTGTTGCGTCCAGCCCTCCCCCTATCCCCGAGTGCGTCTCTAAAAAAAAAAAAAAATCTCCCCATCCCCATTCCTGAGTCCTGTACTTCGCAGTGCTCAGAACGCGCGCAGGTTCATTGACCGGCCACAATGGCGAGCCCGACAAGACGCTTGTATAACTTTCTTTTCTTCATGTTGCCCCTATAAGTGACACAATGACAAATATTGATTTACTTTCATGGCGACACCACGTTTGTAATGCCGAACCTGCATGTTACAATAATTTTTGCGTTATCAGACAATTACTGACCAATTTCTGGGTGGTAACGAAAGCGAAAATAAAGGCTTACGAGACGCTCTGTTATGAAATTTAGTGGGTATCATGCTGGACTATAGAGCGGTTGACCCTCGTGCGCCCTCTTCGAAAAAGCGCCAACTTTGCGAACAGAGTTAGAATCTACCCTACTTGTGTGAAAACCAATAATAGTGACACTCTTTTTGGCTGAGTGAACTATCTCTTGAACCTTCCGGTTACCGTGTATGTAGACCCTGAGACTACGTGCCCGGTTACCGTGTATGTAGACCCTGATGCTACGCGCCCGGTTACCGTGTATGTAGACACTCCGTTCTTCAAATTGTCTTTTTAAAGATTCCTCCAACTCCAAAACGGAGGAAAAACGAAAAGACATTTGCAATCTTCATTTAGATCTAGGCCTCGAAACTGGTTCTATGATTTATGTCTGTCTGTCTAGATCTAGACCAAGGCGCTTACTGTAACCTCCTTGGTCTACCCTGAGCCAAGAGGATGCTGAAACTTTCCGAAATCACAAAAGATTTCCTCTAGCGGGTCTGTATACTTTGCGACTCTTTCCCGGTTACCGGGTCTGTATACTCCCTTCTCCAAAGGCTCGGAAAAATAATCTTGAACTCTATTTCTCCGAACGCCGAATGGTTTCTGTTCTCGAGATTTTTTGGTTATTTGCCAATGGAGCGGCCCGTGTTTGTGTGTGTGGGTGCGTGTGTGGGTGATGTGTGAACGGGGGGGGGGGGGTGATTTAATTTTTGCTTAAGAGGTGACTAAATGCAAATTATAGGTTAGCCTACTTCTAAAGTCGAGCAGTCTTGTTTTCTCGCAGTACCTTTTGAATGCATTTTCAAATGAAGTATAGTCCGGGAACGTTGCCCCAACTACTATTGAAGTATCGGAATATTCAGTCAACTAAAAATTTCTAATAGAGCTCTAGAAATTGAATTCGATACCAAAAAAATGCTTCTTTCCAGTCCTCGCTGAATGAAAGATGACGCCAAACTCTCGCAAATAACCAAGAAAACTCGAGAACGGAAACCGTTAGGAGAAATAGAGTTCTGCTTCCCAAGGGGGTTGCTGTTAGGTGGACACCAATTACTGTACTTACCTGAGGCCCACTGTCAAGTTTATTATTCCGAGCGTTCGGAGAAATAATCACTTCGTGATTATAATGGGGTGTCTTGCGAAAATGGTCTTCTGTCATGATCACACGAAAAAAGTCCCTCCTTTAAAAAAATTTTGAGTTGAGACCCATGACAATGATAAAATGATAATAATTGCATTTCCCAACAAAATTATATAGATCTAGATCTAGCTGCAGATAAAAATAAAATTAAAGCAAGTGGCTATTCTCCAGCGTCACGTATAGTTGCACATGTCGCTTCTTCGCAGCTTTCCATCTACCTTGTTGTCACATTATGGCCGTTATGTTTGTGATTGAGGGTTGTTGGCGCTTCTGGTGCTGTCACCTCTGATATATATATAGGCTAGTGTACAGTCTGAGATTATGTTTATTTTATTTAGATTGCTTACTGTGGGCTTTGTTTAGAAAAGAGCACGTTTGAGGTGTACTGTCTTAGTGATATATTAATTTTAATGTACCGCCAAACTCGGTACGAGTGTCGTCATCGCTTGAGTTAACCCAACGAGCAATTTATAGGTCCGACTACCACTCGTGACCTTAGTTCTTTCTTGTCCTAGCTCCATTTTTTTTTTTTACCTTGAAAATGTGGCTTCTTCTTAAGCTCACTCTTTATTATGAACTGTTTTCACTGTTATTAAAAATGGAGATAGGACAAGAAAGCACTGAGGTCGTGCACTGCTAAATGATCTAATTATGTTTAGTTAAAGGGCGTGGACTTACGCAAGGCATAGTAGATGTTTCACAGAGCATAGGCACGATAATGGCTGTTAAGGCGCCAGCGAGGACCTTGTATTGATAAAAGATTTGGCTAGTGCTTGTTGTGAGCTTCTTTTATTTTCTGTTTGTGAGTGCTTTACATACAGAAGAGAACATGAAAAAAGTTTAGGTGGCACTGCACGACCATGCTCTATGGACCAACCATCCCTGATTAGTTCGAAGGATTGTCATTGAAAAAGCAAGAAAATAAAATGGAATTTGTTGCTTTAAATGATCTGTCTTAGGGTTGGTGCTTGCAGCAAGCCGTGGGTTTTTTTGTTTGTTGTTGTTTTTAATTGATTATTTTTTTCATACACACTTGTCCAAACAAATCACAATTTATTTAGCATTAGGGACTTTTTTATGCTTTTTTTTTAAGTCTCAAAAGCAGAAATTCACGCTACAGGGGCATGAAATGATAATGACCATGCCATAATTACAAGGACACACATGAAACTTTAAGTTCAAAAGTACCCAAAATTAAGTCAGCCCAGCCAAAGCAGGGGCATGGAACTGACCCCCCGTAGCCGTGACCAGGGCGTAAATAAAGTGCTCGGCGAGGAACCCCCTGCTTCAAATAAAATTCCAATACTGGTTAGCTCTGGTGTACCGAACCTGTGTTAGACGGAATCGCAAGGGAGCCAGAAAAAAATTCCATCTGGGACAGGGGAATTTAGGGGGAGGGGGCGGGGGGTCAAAGGCCCCACCGTTAAGATCAAGGATCGCTTATATCCGGTCAGCAAGCAGTGGTCGAAACTTCATACCTTTAAACTGCGATCCTCTCTGATAATGGCATGCGTCAGTCTTACTTTTCCAATTACCACCGGTGCTTGCATTTCATAGGACCACTGTTTGACCTATTAAAAACAGAAATGTTTGAACATCTCATTTGCTTCCACCTTTAGCCCCACCCATCGGTGTAACAAGCACAATCTACCAATGCCACCCCTCACTGCCATGTAACTACGGTTTGAGGAATTCTTTTCTCGGCTGGCCGTACGATCAGGGCGGCAGGCATTGGTCAAACTAATTTCACACTCTGGCTTCTTGCTACTCAGGAAAGTTTCTGTTGAGGCTCACTACTTGAGCACTTTCAATGGTAGTCGTGAGATTTCACACTCACACTACCCTGACCATCTGCATCGCTCAGGGCTCACATAGATGAGGTTAAATCTACCCCCCAAATTGCACCCCAACTCCCTTTCCTCGCCCGGTGGCATGGCGTTAAGTTTAGAGAGCCAGCGGAACCAAACTTGCACTTGCGACTTTTGTATCAAATCAGGGCTCTTCGGGCAAAGCATAATTTTCTGTCTTAGACTGGTAAAACCCTCGGAAAGAAGCGGATTTTCCTTTCTGTTTCAGTGTTGGACAGGTTTCCGTTTTATACTGGTTATTAAAGAGGAATATATCATGGGGGAAGCGGGGAGATTCCGTTAAGACTGGTTTCCGTTAAGGCAGGTTCAACTGTACTTTCTGATCATTGTGGATAAATGATTTGTTTACAATATGCTGTACTCCTTGTTGATTGATAGTGCTCATCCTAATGAATTGTTTAAATTTTGGTATTTTTTGCTACTCTGCTTTTTATGAATATGTCTGCCCCTCAGCGCAGCAATCTTCTTCATTTATATTTTCTTTTTCTTTTCTTTTTTTTAAGAAAAAGGAAAAAATTCCAAGCACAGTTCGGGATTAGGGAAATGGAGACCCAGCTCAGTGGATACTGTAGTACCTTCATACCTTACTGGGCAGTGGCCAAAGGATATAATTTACAACTATCATCACTACCAGTCTGCAGGGGTCTTCATGTGTGACAAGTCCACTCAGGTAAGCTGCTCCTTTTATAACAAATGTCTATTTATTGGAAATGAACCGTGGCTTTCTTTTTTTCTGGGTTTTTTTGTTTTTTTGGTTGTTTTTTGTTGTTTTTTTGTAGTGGAGTGATATGGATAGGAGGATGAACTTAATGATTTATATATAATAAATTTTAAAGACATTTTATGTATAGTTTTCAGCAAGAGGAGCCATTTTGTGACAGCTATTTGTTTTGCACTTATTTATAAAGCTTTTGAATCTAGGCAGGCTTTCTTTTTTGGAAAAATGTATGCTATGGTTTTTGTTGCCAGTTTTTTTCAGATCTCAGGTTTGGTCTGTCATTGATTGTTTCATTGGTCAAAATGTGAAGATGCATCAAGTTTACATTTTACTCTACATTTTTTGTCTTGTAGTGATTCTTCTATCGACTGCGATGATGTGTCTGATCTGTAAGACAAGGAATGTTTGGGGTACTTACCTTAGGGACGTAGGCCTTCGACAAAAGCTCTCTACAAATCCCAATCCTGTGCCAGTTTCTCCAGCTGTCTCCACATGTGCCCCCTCGTCCCTGTGTCTTCTGCTCACTTGTGTGTTTTCTGTCAGAGTTTTTATTGCTGATGGCGTCTTGTCAGTGTACATTGAGAGTGTCCTTCTGAAACAAGGGACGGGTTAATGAATGTCTGGATTCTCTTTGTGTTTATGGTTGATTAGTTCTCCACTTCTCAGCTCCACACAGCAGCACTAGTTTCATCAGGAATGTGTGGGATGTTTGGAGTTAATTATTCTACAGTATGCACCTTATATTTACTGCTTGGATTAAGTGTTTATTTTTTTTCTGTTTCCTTGCAAAGACAATGGATGACTGGGAAAATAAAATTGAAAAGAAGAAGAAAGGGCACAAAAGATCTGCATCATTTGGCCAAGGTGACCAGCTGAAGGTAAGGATTTTATTTTGTTCAGAATTTCTTTCTACTTTTCCCACATTGTTTTGATAATTTTCGTTATAGAGTAGACTAGTAGGCCGTAGCTGGGTTTGAGACTTTGTTATGTTTAAAGGCCAATTGAAAAATAGGGATTTTGTCAAAATTGTCCTGTATTCGAGTACGGGAGGGGGCTGTTGCTGTAGCAACATTTAGAATAATGACATTGGGGGGGGGGGGGGGGGGGTCAGTTGAGATGGGTAAAAAATATAGTTTTTGGGTCTATTATGTCTGAATTGTGCTGTCCGTGCAAAGTCTTGGTATTTTTGTCTTTTGTGTGTGTGTGTGTGACAGGATGAATGGGTTTTTTTTATATCAGATTGGATTGGGGAGAGGGTCAACACTTTTTTGCATCCTGAAATTCAAATTTAATGTCATGCTATACCCATTACTCATTGGACACACGTCCCTGACTCACAAATACCTCCTTCAGGGAGAAGAGAAGTCGTTTTGTGTCGGATGCGACACACAGATTTTACCATTAGACATATTTTAACAGAATGTCTAGACTTCAGAGAGACCTGAAGGAAATATTTTAGATGTTAAAAATTGTAAGACCTGTTTTCCGTCGTTGATCCCAACAGAATTCTGACAATATGGAAAATTATAGATTAAATTACATGGTTTAAAATTTTTAATGTTATTTAGAACGTTATTTTAAATTAAAAATTTATTTACACCAAATTTTTTATATATTTTAGTAGAGGTGTTGGCTAGAATCGGGCTGTGCAGTGAACTGTTGCGAATAGAACCAACTTTTTTTTCGTGCACTCATATGACCTTATGCAGTTGGGAGCAACGTAAAACTCTTACTTAAACAAAACAAAAGACCTCTCACCCCCTTAACCCTTTTTCTACTGCGAGCCGCATTTTGCGGATGTGGCCTCGCTGGACCGAGAGCCGTACAATACGGCTCGAGTGGCTCGCTATCTATTCCAATCCAGGAATGAAAAGAAACTAAATTCTCGGCCGATCCACGTTTTAGAAATAATAGAATAAACTTCCTGTTAGCCGGATATAAAAGAAAACGTAGCACTGAGAGACGATTTTTTGTCATTTCAACGCTTTTTTCTGTCCCCTTCAAAACATAAAAATGAAAAAAAAAGTGGTCCCCTCACTTAGGTGTATGTCTCATATTTTCACATACATAACTTTCAACACTTCTTTGCTTTACTTGAGGCAATGTACCTGGGAAATTTGAATGATGCTGTTGTTGATCTTTTTTAGATATGACTTTTAAAAGCTGGAAAATTGTTGTTGTAGGTTGGTGGGTGCTCTTGTGTGGTTTGCATCTTCTTTCCTATCAAACATCTATATTGTCTTTTTCTCCCCTACTTTTTTTGTTTTGTTTTTTGGTTACTCTCCTGGAACCCCTCTAAACTTATATGACCTTATTGTGTTCCAAGTGCCGTAAAACACTTATTAAAACTGAACTAACTGGAAAATTGTTGATTTCATATGACACCTTCGATATTGCATGATCACTTTTAGAAACCATAAACTAATATAACTGGAATAATAAATGTTCAATATTGTATCTGATAGGTTATTTTTTAACCTTCAGTTTGAAGGGCCATACTGTGTGTGTTTAGTTGGATGTTTTGACATTTTCCTTTGGTGGGGTAAGGGCATAAAAATAGGTCAGGGAAAAGCCCTGGGCAGTGGTGGATTTTGGCCTGGTAGGAAAAGAGTTAAGTAAAGTGAATGCCTTTTACTCTATATTTTCCTTTACTGTTTATTTTTATTATAGTAGAGGGTTTTACGGCGCTCGCAACTGCATTAGGTCATATGAGCACCAAGCCTGTACTGTTTGATATTGCAGTTTTTATTAATAGCTTTGCTTCTGTTTACTCTAGAATGTGTACGTCTTGAGCACTAATCTTTGCCCTGTTCAGTAATGTTTCCAGTAATGAAAAATTAATATTTTTAGCTGAAAACCTGAAGTGACATAGTCAGTAATTATACCGAAAATAGTAAAATAGTGAAATTCACATAACTTTACATCATGTCTATTGTTCCCTGTGTAAGCATGTTTGGTTTGCCTGTAGCTGTTCAATACACACCACGGGGCAGTGCCACTGACTGAAGTGTCTTTAGGTCATTCCCAAAGGGGGGACATTTATCGTTCTAGTGCACAGTAGAATTGTAAATGGGCTGATCTAACAATGTCATGCTCATAACTGTGCCTGAACTACAACTGGGAACTGCTGCTTTTTCTTTCCTAATCCTTACTATCGTCATTTTCCTCTACTTCTTTTGTATGTTTGTCACACTCTTGTGACTCTCTATTTCCGGGGTACCTTGATAGTCGAAGCAGACTTTGTGCTGCTGAAGCTGAGCAGAGTAAGTCTGATTCCCTGTAAGGACTTCTCTGTTGACATCCACCCCTTGGCGCTCATATGACCTAATGCAGTTGCGAGAGCCGTAAAACCTTTACTAAAATTTAAAAAACTAAAGCTGTTCAATTCCTTTTTTTTCCCTCCTGACAAGGAATTTAGACATAATCACCTAGCTCTCAGCTGGTGATATATTAATCATGATTTCTTTCATGTCTCTGTCTGTGGCATGTCAGTAATGATGTATGGAGCATGACGTGGTGGAATCGGGCGCTCGTCAATTTTTGGGTGTAAGAGGTAATTGGTATCATCTTAAAGCCTGTTCATTTGCCTTTCTTTTGATGAGAAAATATCCATCTAAGATTACGAATTATGTGCGATTGAAGGATGCTTGGTTTCAGAAGTGACACTAGCGAGAAAATGGCCACCAAAGTTTAGTTACTTCCATAGCATGAGAGTTCTTGGAGACTGAAGATTTACTTTTTTTTTTTTTTTGCCTTTAATCAATGTTTTTCCATAAAATCCACACAAAAAGGTGTTTTTAAATGGACATGAAAGGTGTTGAGCCAATAAATGATAATTACAAGAAAATTGCCTATTTCTTTGATTTCATTATTTTGACAAGTGCCTGATTTCACCACACTGCCTCACATATGTCTCTTGTGAAATGCTGTTTCACTATTTCTGTCTCTGTTTCCTTATATTCACTTTGATACGGGTATATGATTACACAGAATTCCTTTAATAGTTTATTGAGCAGTCACTCTCGACACATTTTTAAACAAGTCTTGTTCTTTTATGTTCCCTTGGTGCAGCTCCAGTTTTTCAAGCAGCACTTGCAGAAGTCGAAAGAAGGCAGCAAGCAGGGTGACTGCAAGCAGCGCTCTAGTCCTGTTCCTGGAAACCATTCTGCCCTGTCTCTCACAGCACCTCCAGCTCTTTGCTCACAGACCAAGACAATCTTGATTTCTGCGGGACACATACCACGTCAAAATGTGAACAGGTTCCAGAGAAACAGTGTCGAGGGTTTGAATACAGTAAGTGGCCTTTTAAACTTTTGCTTTTTCATTCGGGGCTCTGACTCAGAGGGAGGTGGCAATAATTTTGTAAATACTCAGTGCAACTGATTTTTTATGTATTTCCTCTTTTGGTGCTGGAGCATATTGTCCCTCACATTTTAGACTGCCTTGTGCTGTGTTGTTTTCTGAATCTATTCATTCTAAAGGTCTAGGGCAGGGCTAGTCAGACAGTCACAGGGAGAGCCTTCATTTGAATTTATATGACCATGTAAATAAGTGCAAGAGGGGGCCTTAACTTCATATTTGAGTGAAAAGGGTTCGGCTGAAGGGTATACCGGGGTAGGTGATCTCAGAGAATAACAATACAAATTTTCAAAATATTGATTTTTTGCTTTTTGTGGAAAAACATCCTTTGATTTGACATCTGTTCTATCGGTTCACAATGACGTAACTGTTTGAAAAACACCCTAAATGGCCTAAAAGGGCCTTTGAAATGTGCATATCTAACTAAAAATCCTTTTAAAAATTCCCTTTTTCTGTTTTTCTCAAAATCTGCTTTTTGGCATATGTGATCTCCTTGATGCTAGGAGTTTTCACAAACTACTGAAGCTAGAAGCTTCAAATTTGGCATATAAGTACTTTAAGAACTATTCTGGAGATCTATGTGAGGATATTGGGAAATATTGGTCACTTGTGGAAATATTCAAATTTTTTGTAACATATACCCCAAAGTTTCGTCAACTGACTCTCTGGGGTCCACTGACTTTGGGCTCACTTTTTTATTTGTAGAAATAGGTCGACTCCACATAGATCCGCAGTCCATATAGGTTTGCACTTGTGTGCCAAATTTTAGACTGTAGTTTCAATATTTTCTAAGAAATTCTTCTGCACCGAGAAACTGGTTTGAAAATCCAAGATGGACGCCACAGAGACCCATTTTTCAGAGAAAAAAAAAAATTCATGCTTAATACATCTTATATACTATGAACTTCTTGCACAGTTACATCAAAGTGAAAAAAAGTCATTCGTTTCGAACAAAAATTTCATGACTAGGTCTCCCCTTAATTATTTGTTTTATTACAGTTTCCTTTTTCTCTCATTGCAGGAGATCGAGAGGTTGGTGAGCTCGGTGAAAGCTGTCAGCATAGTGGTTCCTGATGGAGAGGAAGCAGACCTGGTATTTAAGGTAAATGTGAATGTATTTTCATCAGTTCGTATAGAGAAACAGTTTGTGTTACAACTAGAAAGATGAGAAATTTCGAAATACACGACATGTTGGTATATAAATAATGGTGGGTTGGCACTCACATACTTTTGGGAGGTTGTTTTATTAGAAGTTTTACGGCACTCGCAAATGCATACGGTCATATGAGCGCCAGAAGATTAGAAGTGTTACAAGAGAGTAACAAACATAAAAAGGAAGAAGGGGAGATAATGACGATAGATGTTTGATAGGAAAGAAGGAGCGAACCACACCAGAGCACCCGGTGGAGTTGTTGGCTCTTGACAGTTTCCAATTTGTCTGACTGCTTCCACTTGTTTGTGAATAATGCTATATATGTTCACCTTCAGGAAATCCCTGACGGTCATCGTGCACCTGTTCCTGAGCTGAGCCATCTCAGCTCCACGAGGAGTGTTGACACGCAGACGCCCTCGGGTCACATTGACCACAGTGTAGTGACCCTGAGCAGACCAGCCTCCATAAGTCCAGCCTCCGCGGTCACGCCCCCTCGCCCCGGCAGTGTTGAGATACACCGTCACTCCAGCAACAGATCTGAGTCCACAGAGAGTAAATCCAGCAGCAAAGGTGACTGAAGTTGATTGGGGGAGTTTTGTTGAGTCACATTTTAGTGTTTTGAGCACTGATGATGTAAGACTTCTTCAGTTTGTTTGGTTTTTGAAATTTAAGAATTGTCATGCTTCAGCATACGAGGGGCATACCAAAAGTTTTTTACCTGACCATGAATGGTAGAAAGCTGAAATTTGGAGTGAAAGCCAACGATCATCTTCCTAGAATGCATGTCAATGTTGGGGAATTCCCGATTACTGGTTTTACCACCAACGCACTGTAAATGAATTGGGGTATGTTGTTCTCTAGTTTCAACATAAAAATGAAGAAAATTGAGTACAGGGCAGTAATGAAGTTTTTGTTCTTGCAAGGCAAGCTACAACAGGATATTTTTACAAATATGTATTCCGCATATGGAACTGATTGCCCATCCTATGCTGTTATGAAATTTTGGTGTAAAAAATTCAAATGCGGATTCGTGGACATTTAAGATGGCCGCTGTGATGGTCGCCCATTTACAGCAACAACAGAGGAGAATCTGTTGAAAAATCAAGAAACTTGGGTTGTCTGATAGGCGGGTGACTGTCGAACTTTTGAGCAAAGAAACTAGGCTTAGCATTGGATTGGTTGAAGGAATCTTTAATGAATATTTGAAATATGACCAAGGTTTCTACGAGATGGGTCCCACGTTTGTTGACTCCTCAAAAAGTGCAAATGTGGATTATTGTTAAGAATTGCTTGGTCTGTATGAAAAGCATGAAACTAAATTTTTTGAAAGGTTTGTAACCATGGATGAGACATGAGTCCAGCACTCTGATCCTGAGTCAAAATCTGCATCTACGAAGTGGATATCACCCTCATCTCCAACACTGAAGAAGGCAAAGGTGCAGCCGTCAAGAGGAAAAGTGATGTGATCAGTTTTTTGGAACCAAGAAGGATGTGATTATGACAGACTATTTTGAAAATGGATATACGATCACCGAAGACCATTTTTCTATCCTGTCCTCAGAGAAAGTTGCATTTGAAAATAGCAAAAGTTGCAAGAAAAATTAACAAAAGTTGGAAGAAAAGCTGCAAGGCATGTATAGCTACAAAAAATGTCATGGAATTATTTAAATACATTGTTTGTATGCTCATTGCTATTAACGTAACCAACATTAGTTCTTTTAGATTAAAATCAAAAGTTATATGTGAATGTCTACCCAAAAAAAAAAAAATGCATGGAGGTTGCAGGACAAACAGTTTGTCCCCTGACACATGAGTCAGGTCCTTAAACTCTCGCTGACGTTGGGCAGGTGTGATCAGCATGGTTTAGGGCTGTTCAAATATAATCTTACACCTTTTTGGGGACTTTTCTTACATTTTCCTCTCTCCCGCTTTCTACCTTTATTCCTTCTTGGTCAGGTAAAAAACTTTCAGTATGCCCCTTGTATATCGGCATTCAGTACCTAACAATACAGGACTTGATAACAGGGTATATGTAGTAGGAAGGACAACTTTGTTTCAGTTAACCTGCCTCATATTTTATATTTTCATACTTTGCAGTAAAGCATGAAAAACATGATCTGTTCCATCAAGGAATATTTTTTAAATAAGGAAATTTGCTGGTGTGCCGCTTTAAAAAAACTTTATGCTAAGCTGGAAACCTTCTGTCTCCCTATTTTTAAAATCGAAATTGTGTCTTTTGTCGCTGTATTGTTAACATTGTTGCAAGGAATGTTCAGGGTGTCCAGCAAAGTCGTAAAAAAGTCGTAAATTCTGCGCCCTGGTCGTAAAGGTCGTAAATGGTAGTAAATTTGCCTTGAAGGTAGTAAAAATTTGGTAAACGGTCGTAAATTAGCCTGCATACTGAGTGATGATGAAGCCAGCAAGACTTTTCAGTGAACCCTAGCCGCGGTACATGACTCCGTTTTTGCCAATCGCGATTGTGATATAATTATTCGTTCACCTTTTCCCCGTTCGAGAGTACGTTTCACGCAAAAAGCCGGCTATGGCGGCAGGTGAAAGTGTATGTGACACCGAGGCTCGATCGGGAAAATTAAGATCTACTTTCGCTTTCGTTACCATCCTGAAATTTGGCGTAGATAAACTGATAACGCAAAATTTGTAATATATGCAGGTTGTACAGTATACCCGCTTTGTCGCCGTGCAAATAAAATTAATAATTACTCGGACTCTTCACCGTGCTGTCACTTGTGGGGGGTGAAAAGAAAATACAAGCTTTGTCCGATTTTTAGATGTCGGGTTTGCCAGCGTGACAGGTCAGTGAACCTTCGCGCGAGGCACTACAAGGTACGGCATCGGTGAGCACCGGCGTTTGTTGGGGTCGCCAAAGTTCATTAAAAAGTCGAGCGTTGCGAAGTATAGGACTACGGAGTAGGGCAGGGATTATTGATTTTTTTAAAGAGACACTCGGCGGAGGGGGGGGGGGGAGCGGATGAAGGCAACGCCAGAGGACAAAAGCTGTAAGCAAATTTCAGAATTTTGATTAGATTTAGAGCCCTCTGCAAAGCGCGCGTTGGTGCAGGCCTTGTGTGGAATCGGGATCCTTCATACCTTGTAAGCCGTGTTATTGAAATAAAGTGTTCGCGTTTCATTTGTTGGGTGAGAGTAAATTAGAACAATATTGTAGCTTTCTGTTCAAGACTGGCAGATTTTCAGTGTCACTGCCTCTTGCCCTCTCACAGTTCTTACACCTCTCACACTGAATAGGTTTACTCAAGTCATTACGTGTGTGTGTGTGCACGCGTTGTTGTTGTGTAACATGGCCCTGGAAAATGGAGAAGCCGGTTTGGCAGTCACCCTGTGTGTACACATTAGGTATAAATCTACCCCCTCCCACCTCCACCAGGGCAGTGCTACTGACTGAAACGTCTTTAGGCCATTCCCAAAGGGAGGATATTAACATGTTCTTATGCACAGTAGAATTGTAAATGGGCTGATTTATCAATGTCATGCTCATACTGTGCTGGACCAGCGTAGGGGGAACTGCTGCCTTTTCTGTCCTCTTCTTTACTATCGTCATTTTCCTCTACTTCTTTTGTATGTTTGTCACGTTTGTGAACTACTATTTCCGGGGTGCCTTGATAGTCGAAGCTTGATTCCCCGTTTGGACTTCTCTGTTGACATCCACCCCTTGTCGCTTATATCACCTATGCAGTTGCGAGTGCCGTAAAAACCTTACGAAAACTAAATCTAGCTGCAAGCAAGCTTGCGATCGTCTGTCTATCCTCCATTTTGTCGACTGGACTTTGTTGTGTGTTCTTTTCGTTCCATATGTTATGTAATAATAATGTATATGTTATTGATGGCGCAAATTAACTCCCTTTTTCGAGCTGGTGTGGGGTTTGATTTGCTGGGTAGTAAAATTTTTTTCCAGGTAGTAAATTTTTTCAGGAAATATTGCTGGACACCCTGAATGTTGTTTCCCTCTTCCCAGTTTTGCATTTAGTCAGAGATGCAGCTTGAGATCAGTTGTTTTCTTTTTCTTTTTTCTTCTTTTTGATTATAATTGTTTTATTAGTGAGAGGCGCTTTGTATTGTTACTGGTGGCTTTTAATGAAGTTATTTCTTGTTCCCCCATCAGAAATGTGGCTTGTTCAATTTACCTAAATGGTTATTGGTAATTTGCATGTTTTCACAGGTGAAGTGGAGTCCTCCCCAGAGCCCACAGCCCACTTATGCAGCCCTAAGCTGGAAAAGTCGTGCCCTTTCGTGCGAGAGCCGCCAGATGGCTGTGAGAAAGTCACTGCAGTTGAGGAATCTAGGTTAGTCTGCAGAGGCATTTTTGATTATTTAATATGCATAAGTTTTGGACCATGTGGGTCATTCAGCATATCATCAGTTGTGCACTTCCTTCTTTTTTTTTTAAAATCTGAATGTTCAGCATGGTTACTAGTAACCTTGACTATGTCAGTGGTTTTCTCATTTTTTGGCCACCTTTTCTTTTCCTCTTTTTGTATGACGATCTAGCATGCACATTGTGGAAATCTTTTCATTATGTACAAATTTCGCTGTGTACATATTTTAAATACAAAGAATATACACATGTACGTGTACCCACTGTCTCTTACTCAATGATGAAGAAAAAACTAACAATAACTTCCCCAGTTTTGCAAGATTCTCTTCCTGATATGAAAGGACGCCATAATCTGTGTATAAATTTAAACTGTTCAGACGAGCACTTTGTATCAGCCATGTCGTGAAGTAACCCAGAAAAGGCCTTTTCCATTGGACTGAATTCAAGTCTGCAAAAAAGGTTAAAGCCTGTTACCATTATTGCAAGGAGTAAGGACTTGATTTCAGATTTAAATCTAGTGCGCCTTCTAAAAGAGCTGTTCAAAGGAGGTACGAACAATTCAAAGTGAGTGGGTGTCTGTCAGTTCTCTTCATTAAGGAATAGCCACAAACAATGTTTTGGAGTGAAAACATTGTGTGTGTGGTTCTTAAGACCAGTGATACACAGTAAAATTTTCTAAGGTCTGTTTGGTTAAGTGATGAGGCTCTTTTCTACGTTATTAGAAAATAAGTTTATAGGAATTATGTACACTGGGCAGCAGAAATACCAGATTATGTGAATGAGAGAGACTAGCTTGTTAAAAAAGCAAAAGTGTTAGTAGCTTTCAGCTTTCAAGGTTTCAAAAGGCCATTTTGGTACTGCGATGAATATGGAGCTACACACACAAACGCAGTCGCTGCAGATCATTTTTTTAATGTGTTAAATCAATTTTGATGACCCATGGGGCAGTTCTGTGGTTATGAGACAAGAGATCACAATGGTTGATGTAGGATGGGGCAGCCGCTCTTACTGCAGAACTTTTCTTATACTGGCTAAAGGGACATTTTGGAGGTAGTGTCATCAGTAGCTTAATACAGCACCCAGTGGTACCTCACATCTGGATTTAGACTCACTTTTCCTTTTTTTATTTGAGGTTATCTCAGAGACCATGTCTCAGATCAAAGATTCCATACCCTTCGAGAACTCAGAAATCAAGAGGAAGATCTTGTGTGAGCAACATTTTCTTTTTGTCAGATCATGGGAGGTCGATGAGTATGACCGCGGCCATGCAGATGGTCTTTTGTTAAGCTGATAGTTCTAATGTAGTTTCCTTTTTTCTGCAATAAATGTAACTGCCTGTCTTTATGGTTCTTTCGTGTTTCTACCAAATGATTTTGTTGTATGTGAAGCAGTTTTTGGGTTTTTTGTTAATGCGTTTTTGGTGGTCATCAAGTCTTGTTTGAGAAAAATTTGGGACCTGAAAATCTGTTTGCTATTTTATGCACGCTAGACTGTTTTTGGAGAACAGTGCTTCAAACTGAAACACATGCAGAGATTGTTTCAAACTTCATTTCAAAAGTTCCTGATATGATGTTTCGATGGCTTTTCTAAACGAAAGAGTAACATTAGTTAAATTTTCTGTACCGTACAACTGCCATCTTGAGTTTTGAATACCTCGGCTTTATTTTCATCCATCTTTTCTTTATGAACTTTTTCAGGTAAGAGTGCTGAATTTTAAAAAAAAACACTCTCAGTGAATTGTCAGATATATATTATTCGGTGCTTCCATTCTTCCGTATTTTTACGGAAATCCATACTTTCAGACAGTTCCGTACTTGCTCCCCGATCATTATCAACTTCATCCGATAAAAAGTGCGATAGCGTAGGGCTACTGAAGTTCCATGGTAAAGGATCCATACTCACCTTCGTATCATCATGTATAAAATGCGGATATTTACTGTGTCTGTCTCGGCTATAAGTTAAAGAAACCTGCCAGATTGCGCATTTCCCGCAATCGGCCATTATCCGGCAATGCATTCATTGCGGATTGGTCAGTAACCCATTTTTACCTGCGAATTGGTCAAAATCTGGCTAGCCACAACGAACTTTTTGTGTTAATTTCCTCCTTTCTGTCATTCATTCTGTCTATCTTCAGATTATTGCCGCAGCTGGAAAATCTGCGTGTTGGTCAAGTAAATTGACTTGTGATTTTAGGCAGAAAATCACTGTCAGAAAGAAACTTTTTTTGCAATTTTGTCTTGGTTCAGAGAAAATGTAAGTGCGATGGTTCTACGACGGAAGCGTGATAAGGGCTACGGTGAAAGAAATTTATGCTAAAACTTACTAAAATCAAGAATGATTCGACGTGGTGTTCCTTGATTGTGTGTGAGATTCGGCATTCAAATGTGAAAATGGAGGAAAATTAGGGTATGCGCTGGGTAGCTCTACTCTGTCTCCAAGATACATGTCTAAATTTCTATTCATTATTCCCCGGTTTACCGCCTGTCAGTGGTGCGATGACAAATTAATTGAATTAGAAATTATAGTGACTTAGCAGTGGCACAGGGAACCTGCTTTTAACACTTTGCGGTCACTTGGCGCAAAAATGCACCTCTGAAAATTATCCGTTCCGGTCACCTGGCGCATTGTGGCGTCGGTGGCCTTGTGGTTAGGTAGACTACCGGACTCATAATCGTGAAGTTGTGGGTTCGGGGGTTCGAGCCGCAGGCCCAGCATTGTGTCCTTGGGAAAGGCACTTTACACGAATTTTCCTCACTTCGCCCAGGTGGGATTGGGTACCTGGCCATAGACCGCGAAAGGTCTTGTTGAGAGTGCGTTAGTGTTTTAGCGCGTATAAATGGCCGCTTTCACTGTATGCTTCCTAGGAAGTTGAGGTTGTTTCAGAATGCTCTGCGGTCTGCTGGGGTAATAGTATAGATTGTGAAGCGCATAGAGCCTGCTGTTGAGCGGGGAATTGCGCTGTACAAATGTTTTCTATTATTGTTTCTGCACCAGGTCCAAGAAGTCGGTTGCGGTCACTCTCCTGGCTGGGTGACCAAATGGGGTATTCTGTACTGCTGGCTGTGTGACTGCAAAGTGTTAAACCTTGCCAGCAATCAGCAATGGAAAGATTTATAGGTTGAGAAATCAAACAAGACAGGCCGTTTTCAACCCTCTATAAGCACTAAATTTCAATTGAAATCTTGGTGAAAAAATAGGTTTTATGGTTTGTTGGCAGTCTCTTCAAACAGGCTCCCAAATTCTGTTTTGAAACCTCTAAAAGCACTAAATTTCAAATTCTTCAGGGGCTGAACCCCCACTGGGGCTCTGTCCCTGGACCCTTCAGGGGGCTTGTGCGGCCCCCGGACCCCCCAGCAGAATTTTCCTAACTTTTCAACTCCCGCTGGTGGAAGCACAATATTGGTGTGTGTTTCATAATGCATGTATTTGATTTTTCTCTCTCCCTCTCTCTCTTTGGCCTGTTAATTTACACAGAATTGTCCCTTCAATCTACAGGTGGCCACAAATCAAAGAGCCAATGCTGTGTGCTCCTGTCATGCCAAATCAGTTTGTCTTCAAGCAAAGTCAAGGCTCAGCATTCTGCCCACTCATCAAGAGCTACTTGGCGGATAATGAGCTTTCCATTGCTTATAATGGTGCTTCTTCCCCTGTTCTTGCCACTGGAATGGAAGGATGAATGAGAAAGAAAAATAAACAGTATTCCCTATTGACAGCAGAAATGTTTCCATGTTCCATCGACCAATTATGATTTCTTGATGTCTGCATATATCTTTGAAACGGATGCATATTTTAATGAAGCATAACACATTTTATGGTGGTTTCTGTGTATTTGTATTTTGTTTTGTGGGGGAGGGGGGGGGCATTTCTTGGAGGCTTTCTTCCATTACATAAGTAATGTTACACATTTATGAATGTCGTTTTGGGGTCAGTGTTCACAGTAGGAATTATGCAGGTTTATATACTCTCTAAATGTTCAGTGGAATCCACTAAAATTGTACACTGTTAATCTGAAAACAGTGTCTTTTAACTGAAAGAAAAAAATCTTTTTTTTTCCATTGGAGCGGCCATTCCAAACTGAAACCGCAGCGACATTGATCCAGCAGCCCTTCAGATTTTGTGTTAAGAGGACTCCACTGTGTTTGTTGCTTTTTTCTTTATCCATTTAAAAAGTATTCGCGTAATTTTCTTTACGAGATACTAGGCACTTTTCATTTTGATAAAAATGACTCTTTTATTGTTCAAAATAACTGCTAGTCGAGTCTTGTACTGTAGACCTCACATGGTGCGCACTGCTGTCTTTACTGCACCTGTGTAGGTGAGTATTTTTTTTTTCTCCTTTTAATGAGGCTTGTTAGGTTGAACGAGGAAAACTTGTTCACTCAATGCTCAGTTTTCTTTGTCTCTGAAACAAACTGCTGGAATCCATGTCTTTCAATTAGTAAATCAGCTTCTGAAATTCACGGGGGTGGTGGGGGTTATAACTTATTTTTTCTTTAGCTGTTTAGTTCTTTCCCTCTTTTTTCACACTAAAGAAAATGGGTATTAGTATTCTGAATTCTACCTGCATGAGTTTCGTTACAGGTGTAAAATCAAAACAGGTCACTCCATTTGTTTGCTGGCCAGGAGATTTGAACCAAAGGCCAGAGTTTGGTAGGTGTCGTTAAAGATTTCCATTTGCCGTTTAAAAAGTTTTCTTATTATCATTTTGGACATGAAAAGTTTGATGTGTATGGAGACTCCAAGGCTGACATCTGTAGTGTGATTTTTTATTTTTTTTTATTTTCTATTTTCATGAAAAAGTGTGATTTTGATTCTCATGAGGGAGAAGATACTTACTTTAGTCATTTCTATTTATCTGCTGGCGTATGTCCCACATGGTGCAGATTGGCCTTGACTGTCATGTTTTTATTCAAGCTGTTGACTCTAAATTTGGTTGATGAGGGAGTATAAGTTGAACAATCACGACTCCCTGATTTTGAAATTAGGGATAGTAAGAGTCACACAAACACCCCTCCAGTGCCCACTATTCATAATTCCTTATATATAAAAGACAGCAAAATGGCACTTGTGTTCTCAAACAGGTTTTCTTTTTGCTGTTTGTAGTGTGAGCTGCAAGGCGGTGAGATACTGAGATCTCTGCAGTTATTCAGCGTTGATCATTCTGGAAAAGGGGTCACAGGCAGTTCTTTAATATAAGGGACTGTCAATTTTTGTTTCACCATGTGTAATGGAAGTGGGGATCATATCAAACAGACAGGTACTGTAGCTGTAAAGCAGCATTTGTTTGGTTGGGTTGGTTATGGCCTCCTTTTTTCTTGCCACAAATGTATGTCTACCCCTCTTATGAATTACAATGTCTGAATACTGTAGGATGTTTGTTTCCACTTTTGTTTATACACAAGTGCAGCTGAATGGATATCTCATTCCTGAACAAAAATTTGACGAGCTGAGCTGTAGCTGTATTTTTCATTCAGATGGATATCATGTGTTCTGTACTGAAGGAACATGGACTGCCATGTTGAAGTTGCCATTTGGAATATATGCTTTCTTGTTATTGCCTACACATCTTTTTTAGAAGTCTACCTTTGGATTTCTATCTCCTTTTTTTTTTTCTTTGGTTTGTTGTTTTGTTCTTTATTAAAGTAATCTTTGTGTTCATTGTACAGTTGCTACTAATGGCAAAGTTAATTTATATTTGACCAAATTTAAGTTTTAGTGAATAGCGTGTAGAGATATTTCCTGTTTCGCTGTTTTCAATCAATGCTCTTCCCCCCACCCCAAGTGTCGTCGATGACTAATCTCATTTTCAAATTTCAAAGGTTTCTCAGTTATATCACTTTGTCACTGACTACATTTTTTACATATAAAGGCAATATTAAGCTACCATTATGTTTCATTCATTGTAAATACCTGGGTTTTTTTCCTCCTGATATCCATGCATTTTCTTTGTATCTGTGAAGGCACTCAAGTACATTTTCTAGATTAGTTTTTATATTATGGGATTACTAATTTGTCATGCTTTTATTTTTCTTCGGATATACCCATTTCAGTGGCATTCTGTGTCCTGAAGTACTGATGGCAGGGTGCTTTCTCACGCGAGCAATAACATCATTCAGACATCTGTTAACTTGTACTGTAGACAACATCAAAAGCAGATTTCCAATATGTGTGATGATGCAGTGGAATCAGGCGCTCGTCAATTTTTGGGCATATAGAGTCATTGGTATCATCTTAAGGGTTTTTCATTTGCCTTGCTTTCAATGAAAAAATTATCCATTTATCTAGAATACAAGTCAAGATATGCGACTGAAGTAGGTGGGGTCGCCTGGTTTTAGAAGCTAAATTAGCTTTAAAAAATGGCCGCCAAAGTTTGGTGACTTCCATGGCTTTAGAGTCCTTGGAAAATGCAAATTTACTTTTTTTTTGTGCCTTTAAACAATTTCCATAAAATCCACACACAAAAGGGTTTTGAATAGACATACAAGGTGTTGAGCCAAAAAACAAAAATTAGAAAAAAATGTCCAAACTGGCCAAAAAATGCTGCTTTCTCGGATTTCATTATTTTGACGAGCGCCTGATCTCACCACGATGCCTCACATATAGTTGCTGCCATATGAGTGAGCTCTAATGAAATTTAAAAGGAAACCTGTAACTTGGGAGCCATGTAAGTTAAGGCCTGTTCACCGACTTTCTGTACTTTCACCGCATCTTTTGTGCGAAGGTAGGCTTAGTCACATGATAGCAGGCTTTCTATCATATGTGTCACGACGAGGTGGAATCAGACGTTCATCAATTTTTGGACATAAGGGGTCATTGGTATCATCTTGGAGCCTATTCATTTGTCTTCCTTTAGGCGAAAAAAATGTCCATCTAAGTTGAATAGAAGTTGAAATATTTGCAATTGAAGGAAGTCATAATCGCCTGGTTTCAGAAGTTAAATTAGCGAGAAAATGACCGACAAAGTTTGGTTACTTCTGTAGATGAGAGTCCTTGGAAACTGAAAATTTACATTTTTGTGTGCCTTTAATCAATGTTTTCTGGAAATTCCGCACAGAAATGTGTTTTTAAATGGATCTTATAGGTGTTTAGTCAAAAAACAAAAATTAGGTTAAAATTGCCAAATGGAGAGAAAAATGAGTTTCTTCAATTGTATTATTTTGACAAGCGCCTGATTTCACCACGATGTCTCACATATGAGCTTTGCTTGCTGTATAAGTTTGTTGATGGTGTGATGTGTGAAATGTACTTGTTGGTTCCTTATTGCTAAAATGTATGTGTGGTAGCAAAGATGATGGGTGGGTTCTATTGCAAGCTGTCAGTTCATTCTTTTCCAGTCTGTCTCTTTTTTTTTAATAATATTTTTTCTTGCTTCATGTGACCATTGTTCATGGCTTCTCTTTTACCTATATAATTGAGGTTTACAGGCTTTACTTACTTATTACAAAATTAGATAAACTTCATTGTATGGTAAATTTTGTAAATTGTGATAGTCTTTGCACTTTTTCAATTGGTTAAAAATACATTTGGCTTATCACATGATTTTATACAAAAGTTTTTCTTTGATGGCATAGGTTTTGTAAAGAGTGATGTGAAGAAATTCTGAATCTGCAAGATATCAGTCTTCACTGATCAAGCTGATGAGTTGCTTGGAGGGGGACTATATGTTGCTGTTGCTGCTGCTCTTTCCTCATAATTGCCAGTGGAAATGTCAATCAAAACCACATTGTATTTCTTCACTGTTTGTTTTTCAGTTGTTTGTAAGAGCTTTCATGGGTTCTTTCTCTACTTGTTGCCTTACAGAGAAAAATGGGGGGACAGTTGGCTTGTGGGCTGGTAGTTCCCTCCCCCTCTGCTGTATATCAATATCAAACTTGTCGTAACTGTTGATTCTGAATCTGTGATGGTGGCATGAAATCTCTCTCTTTATATTGTTCGCATATTTGTTTTCCAGTGTCGATCTTACTGAATAAATGGCTCAGGGCAAAAATGAGATGGGGAAAATGGGCAGCAATAATACGTATTTTTACTCGTGTTATGATGTATTATGTATCTGGTACTTCTCTTGTTTTTTGGACGGGGGATTCAATTTTTCTGTGTGAATAATTTTGATAATCTTTTTTCCGTGGCATTATGAAATGCTAGACTTCATTTTTTTTTTTTTTTTTTTTATTTTTTTTTTTTGGTGCCCATGTTAATGGTAAAATCCTGCTATATGCACATATTGCTTAATGACAGGAACTCTCCCCCCCCCCCCCCCCCCCCCAATACATGGCAGTATACACCACAAGACGATTTTCGATTTGTGCAGTGAAAACAGCCCTGGTCCTATGTGGAAAGTTATTTTTTTAGTAAGGAGTATTTCCCTGGAGTCCATTTACAATGGTTTTGGATGATATTGCTTCTTTAAAAGAACTATTTTTTTGTTCCTGGTTTTTCCTTATTAATGCTTAGTAGCCAGGATAATCGGGTGTCTGTTGTGTAGTGCTTAGGCACTTGGCTGTCTCACACAGCAGTCTGGAGTTTGATTTCTGAGTGAGGAGAATGCTTATCAAGTATCCTGATCTCTCTCGTGGGATATTGTATCCCTCTCAGCCCGGGTTGACTCTGGTATGTAGGGTCAGATGCCTGCCCCATAAATAATCCTTAGTGTGTCATTGAGGGTGTAAAAAACACTTAAATTTATTTTTAAATTATTTTTTAGAGTGGTAATAGGAACACTTAAGACATGGACTTTGCTTTTGGTGAATTTCTTATTGGCTGAGCTGAATAGAATTTCAAAGAGTTTTGATTATAAGTACTCACCAAAAAAATAGAAATTACATATAGCAGAAATTATGCTTGCGTCTTCCTAAGGATCAGCTTTCAGCTGTCGCTCGTTTTGCATGCAAGTAGGACCCTAGTCCTGATAGCACTTTCACTCAACTGCTATATATGGAGGGGTTGGCTTTTCCTATTGACATGCTTGTAATGAACCAATCTTTTAGCCCCCAGTAAGTTCACTGTAAACGGACTCCAAGGCATTTCTGGAACAAG